CCACACTCCAATCTTCTGTGGCACATCTTTGAGTTATTCCTCAAGCATCTCATTTCACCAAGATCTCCAAATTACCTTAACTTGAAATAATCCCTTCAAAACTGAATCCAAAGCCATCTACTAACGTCATGTCTAAAATACTCCTGCACATGTTGAAAACACTTGAAGAAACAATCAAAAATAGCTTGTACTTGCAGCTACCCAAGTTTGACGGTTCATAGCATATCAATATTACCATTCGTAAGCATAAACCAAACTGAATAAAACCACTTCACAATTCATAAAATCAGCCCACCATAAAACCAGTTTGACATCGGTTCAGAAATTAAATCAGAAAAATACCAAAACCAATTTATCAGGAAGAATGCATATAAAATAAATTGTGACATTGCAGTCCATAAACCCATGATGTCAATTCATGATTAAAACCAAAATCCAACTCAATTTCAATTCATCTTAAATCAAGGCAAGTGAATAAATTCAACCAGAAAGAATGTTAAATCATGAAACTCAAAATAAAAATTGAATCAAAATTCCACCTCCGCAACTTCTAACAGAATTCATTACAATTATTAACATATTCAAATCTCTCATCCTGGACATCTATTCTCTCTAACTAATTATAGGATCAAAGGCTCAGATTGCAACAAACTCTAACTGATTTTCACGGCTAACAGATTGTATATAAACACAAACTCACCAGAATTTCTTCATTCTTCAATTTTTGGTGAAGAATTACCAAAATACAAGCTGAAGCTTCTCTTCAAATTCTCTTGATTCTCGGCTTCAATCATCTTATATTCATCATGTTCATTAACGATTATTCAAGTTTCTCTATGATCAGTGGTTTTTACACAAACATTTAGAAGTTATTTCTATTATCGTTTCTTTTACATATAAAGGTTTTATTTCGTTTTATCGTGTATTATGCTTTGGTTTTGTGTTTTAGTGTTTTCATGTTCATAAGAATAAAACCTGACAAATCAGAATAGAAAAAGTGCATAATTCAAAGTTTCGAAGGAAATGCTACAGTAGCCCTTACAGGGGTGGTCGTGTCGCCTGACACGAGCCGTGTCAGGGGGAAGACGTGGAAGATAGAGGCTGACATGGGTGCCCATGTCATCTGACATGGCCCATATCAGAAGGTCTGGGCGAGAGGTTTTTTGAAGCAATGGGCAGAGGCTGACACAGGTTCCTATGTCAGGTGACACGACCTGTGTTGGCCAGGACGCTGATTTTGAGTGTTTTTATGATTTGGGACCCATAGGGGCGTTTGGGAATTATTTAACTGAGACAAATGGATTGTTCACTATTTAGCCAAGTTTGAAAGAGGAATTAGGGGATTTTGTCCCCACGAAGAATAGAGGATTAAAGAGAGCAACATATGTGATTTTTGGAGGACGGAGATTTTTCATGAGTCGCAGTTGTGATACGGTGGCAGAACCAACTGTTACTGTTGGTTTTGCGTTTTTTGTTCGCAAATGTCGCGGTAAGCAAGAGTTGTCACTGACTTTTCTTTTATCCAACAAAGGAAAGGGTGAAAAGAACAGAAAAGACCTTTTTTGAGATTTTCTGAGTAAGGGGGTAGATTATGGAAAGGGAAGGTGTTAGCACCCTTTCCATCTGTGGTTTTCCACGGGCTCTTAGGTACTTGCTCATTTTTTGAAAATTGTTTGTGTTTGTGTGTTTTGAAAGTTTTTTTTTGCTTTATGGTAACTCTTGTATCAGTCATCAAGAGTGTAATAAAGAATTTTTGAAAATTATTTTGAAAAATGTGTAAGTGTGAAAGTTTGTTTTTGAGCAAGTACTTAAAAGTCATCTACCTACTCGAAAAAGGACGTTCTTTTCCTTCTTTCCTCCAAAATTAGCTTTGATCAATGATGCTAGCTTGAAGTAGACTTCCCAAAGAGAATTGAGAAACTTGAATCACTCAAAAATACCAATTATTGAAAAAAGTTATGGCCTTGTAAAATTGGTGAAAATTCATTAGGTGACCTATAATCTTTTGAGTTCTTAGGGCATCCTCCACTCATTTTCAATCTTTTCACATAAAAGAAGAGTTGAATCTCACATCCTTAAGATCATTATGGAAAATTAATGGGCTCAAGGAGATACAAATTGACCAAGTTATGATCTTTTTAAGTTACATAAGGGAATTTGATAGCTTATCTAGAGGACATGTGATCTTTTTCACCATTAGACAACTTCCACATGAAATTTCCTTGAAACTCTTGAAGTGATTAGTTTATAACCTTTTAAAGAGAAGCATATCTTTGGAATCACTCAAAAATATCAAAAGATTATCAAGATATAACCCTTATAAGTGTAAAACCCTAGCTCCTCAAGCACCAAAATGACTTGGAAACCCGTTTCAATTTTGACAAACTTTATTGCACAATTACTCTTGCCATGTTAACAGAAGTTGTTGTGGATGATAATAAGAACTCATAGCAACAAAAAAACACTTCCAAATATTAATAAATGAGAGAGTTATGCACTTGTGATCAAGGAATCAAGAGGTTGTCCAATTAGGTCAAACTTCTTCAATCAACACTTGTATCTTTTGACTTTATTTGATAAATTGAGGCATGATGAATCATAGTATACCTTGTCATGATATTACTTTAAATCATCTTCAATGATGAAGCTTAAATCTCAATGAAGCTTTGTTGAAGAAGGCATGGAAATAAACTCATGAACTTATGCATTAACCTGATGAAATGTGTTGTGCCCTCACCTATAATATCATCAAGTAGAGCAAACATTCATTGCATTTGTTAGTTAAACGTTAATCAATACAAAAAATATATGATCACAATATTCAAATCAAGAAGCTTGGTGATTTCTCTTGAGCAAACCTAAAGATAGGGAGGAAAGGAAAACCCTAGTGTGATCCTGTTGTGATTGAGTTGATATGAGATGATAGAGGAATCTTAGGGGGGGGGGGGGGGGGGGGGGGGAATTAGGGTACAACACATAGGTACTGGAAAGTATATCATTTTACTCATTTTATTTCATAAAAATATAGTTCAGTGTGCTAGCTTCCCAACTCTTCGAACGGCTCATCAAACGGAGTTCGAAAACTCAAGTTACAGTTCTTTCAAATTTGCAAGCAGTTATTCTCGCATGTGGACCGCCCGGAGAAGCAGTCTGCTCAAGTGATGCTCGCTTAACGAAGGAAAGGCTCGCTTGGAGATGGGTCCTTGCCTAGCACTCGTTAAGAGCTGCTTAGGAACTTCGCTTATTTTCCAAGAACGTGTCATTTTCATGTTTCACGGCCAAACACTCCCCCTATGCTGCTTGGGCGAAGTCTCTTTGCCCGATGATGCGAGAGGCTCGTCCAACGGCGGTCTCGTGATAGCAACTTCTCAATTGCGATCCTGCATCAGTTCAACCTCAAATCCTCGTGATTTCCATACCAGTACAGTCCCAAATACACCAAAAAATCATCATATTACCATACAACAATAACAACACATTGTCATACATATTATGGGCATCAAATCAAATGAATTGCATATCATTAATCATCAATTAATCACTAATTCACCATATTCTTATCCTTCAATCAACATAAACCATAAAACACACCCCTGAACATACCCAAACCCCATATCAATGATAATAATAATGATCACCCCCTTACCTGGTAATTCCTAACGGATGATTTCTTCCTTCTGGTTCTACGGTGTTCTCTTCTCTCTTCCTCTCTATGCCATAACTCTTTCTCCATAACATATTTCCCAAAACTCAATCATACAGAATGAACGCACAAAATCTCAATCTTCCCTTTTGTCGCTCTTACCCCTAGAAACCTTATTATGATAATCCCATCTTACCTTCACTAATTCTCATAATATTACCATTTCACCCTTACTATCTTTACACACATTATCATATTTAATTAATATAATAATTCTAAATAATAATTATTAAATATAATTAATCACAACTAATTTATTTAAATTCTAAATAATTATAAACTAATTATTAAAACCAATAATTCTCATCATCGCCTTAATCCAGCATTTACCACAATGCATCATATAAATTACAATAATTCAGAAACACTCATAAATAACTAATTAAATGATTAATTATGATTTTGGGGGTGTTACAACGATAGTAGCCACCACTTCCCCAAACTTAGAGCAAGGATATTGTCCTCACTGTCAGCAGATGGAATGGGGCGGACCAGTGGCTACCTTTTCTTACCAGCTAGGCTTTTAGCCTGCTACTCTTTCTCATAGGGACTTCCTTTCTTTTCTTTCTAGCTTCCTCTAGGCAATCTCTAGCAGGGTTGACTTTTTAGCAGTTTTGGGGGCCTCGGAGACAAAATCTGTTGGGACAGTTGTCTGCACCTTGGCTGACTTGGCTGGGACTTTCTTTGGAGGGGACTTGGGCTTGGGCTCTATTGGTGACTTGGCCTTGGCAGGGGAAAACCTTCTTCTAAATCTCCTTTGCTGGGTGTGGAGTGTTGGCCTTTGCAGGCTTCTTTATCTTCTCATTGTAGACTCATCAGACAACTCCAAATTATGTAAGTTGTCAGATAAGTCTTCTTCTTCTTCTTCCACCTTATCCTCCTCGACTTCTTCTTCTTATTCACCATTAGCAATATTCTTATCATCATCATCCTATTTTCCATCAATTCTAGCCTCTTCCTCAATGTTTTCTTTTTCAAATTTGTCATCCTCATCATTGTCGTCCTCAGTCTCGCCAGTGTTCTCCTGCATTTCTACTTCATTTTCAACCTCTGTCTCTTCCTTATTTTCCATTTCCTTCTCCTCTTCAGCAACTTTTTACATAATTTGTTCAACCACTTTCTCAACAACTTTGTCAACATCTTTCTTTTTATTTTTCACCCTTTTAGATGCTTTAGACAAAGGGTCCTACTTGTCCTTAAAAGCTTGATTCAACAACTCATTTAATGTCTTATCATTTTCCTCTTCATAAATCTCATTGTTGATTATTTTTACTTCCCCTCTTCAATCTTCTTGGCAATGTCCTTTGCAAGCACACCTCATTTCTTCACTTGGGTTGGTTTATCATTTTTCCTGGCTTTTTTCCTTAGTTTCTCTGGGGTTTCATCCTTGGGCACACCAAAAGTTAATGCCCAGCTTCCCCAAAAGGCTCAGTCTTCATTTGTTTCTTACATTTTCCTTTCAGATTGTTGTTATCTTCATCTCCCTTTTGCTTATAATTTTCTTCCAATTCTCCCAAAATGTGCTTTGGGAAAACTGGAATCGGTTCATCATTATAGTTTAAAGCATTGATCTTCAACTCCCACTCAAACTTTTCCTTTTCAAACTTATAAAATTCCCTTTGGTCTTTTTACGTTTGCAATAGAACACTCCATAACACATTATCAGTTTCAAAAATGAACTCAGCTCTAGTCGATACATGTCCTGCCTCTGCTTGTCTTCTGTGCCCCTTTGGTTTCACCAATGGTGCTTGGGGGTTACAGATTTCATTGGTTCCTCTTGTTTTCACACCGTGCTTTTTACATAAAGCAGACATGAGGCATGGAAAGTACAACATACCCCCATTCTTCTTTAACCAGGCATGGATTTCTTGCATGAGATCTTTCCAACATTGATTCCTTCTTATGTTGTGATGCAGTGAAGTAACACAAGCCTTGCCTTGTTGATAGATTGATTGTGAGAATTTGGTATCAAGTAGTGTTTAATGAATTGGTACTATAATTTTACTTCTGGACATAGATCCATCCTCTTAATAGTTTTCTCACCACCAGACTCCACCCATTTGGTTCTAATGTTGGATAGAGATTCCATGTAGACATCAAAATCAGCATCATCTAAAGCAGTCAAAAGCTCATGGTACCTATCTTCAGGGTTTCCCAGCTTGAAGAACATGTTGATTGTCCCCTCCAAATAGGACACCTTGTATCCTCTGACCACAACCTCAACCCATTTGTTGTTGGTATCCACTAAGTTATCATACAACTCCTTCACAACTTAGATATTATAGGGTTGAGGTTGTTGACATAATTTTGTCCATGTCTTTGTTGAGATCATTGTACCTATGTGTCTAGGGAGACCTAGGTTTTCTTCTTGTTTGTCTAGAATGAATCCTCTCTCTGAAAGCATGCTCATACCACAGAAGTAATATGTGAATCTCTGGCTTGCATCAATGTTGATAAAGGTCTCATTGTCATATCCATCATCATCAAAATAGTCGACCTTGGGCGTGGCATTCTTTCTGGATACAATCTTGTAGCGGCCTTGAGTGTATGTAGGCTTCATGATCAGATTTAGGGTTTGAGTGAGTGTTTTGGGATGATGGGGTTTTCAGAATATGAGAGATGAAAAGTTGAGAGAAGTTCTTTTGGGAGCGGTTTAGGAAGAGAGTATGAGAGGAAGTTTGTAAGTTTTTGGAAGTTGAGAGTTTGATGTGATGGAACTTGATGAGTGTTACGTTTAAAAGGAATGAGAGAGAGATGGAAATAAAAGGTAAAGTGTGAGAAAAATTTAAAACTGCTAAGAGAGAGAGAGAGGGGAGAGAATGATAACCGATTTGGGATAATGGGAAGTTACTTGTGATAATTCCTAAAATCAAAAGCGTGAGACAACTCATTAATGAGACTGCCCAAATTATGACGTCACACACATGGCTCAAAGGTCTGTCTATGCGCGCGTGGCTTGCTTTTTCTCTCCCCTAAATTTATTTGCCTTATTCACACGTTTCCAAAAACTGCCTCTTTTTCTGATTTTCTATGAATTCAAAGGGACAATAATTGCTTCCTTTTTCATGATTAACCCACAACTTACACTCAAGAGAACACTTATCAATGACCTTTCCCAAAAAAATTCTCATCAATCAAATTATCTGAAAATTTAAACAAACTAAAAAAAATAAAGGTTAAGCAGGGTGCCTCCTAGTGGCACTATTTTATAGTTTTATAGTCTGACTACAACAAAAATCAAGAAGAATCGTGTAAATCCACAGTGACCCTTTGTTGTGCAAGGATTCATCAAGATAGGACTTCACTTTTTGTCCATTCACCTTAAATTCTTCACTTGTTCTTCCATTCAATAGGTTAACTTCCATATGAGGATAAAATTTAATCAATTTGAAGGGGCCAGACCACTTAGAATTAAGTTTTCCTAGAAAAAGCCTAAGCCTAGAATTAAACAAAAGAACATGTTGATCTTCTACTAATTCTCCCTTTTGGCATTAACTGTCATGCTACCTTTTTTCCTATTCTTTATACAACTCAGGACTTTAATAGGAGAACAACCTATGCTCCTCTAGCTCATTGAGTTGGAGCATTCTAGCTTGGCCATCAGTAGATAAATTGAAATTTAAAGTCTTGACAGCCCAAAATGCTTTGTATTCCAACTCAGTTGGTAAGTGAAATTCCTTTCCATAGACAAGTATATAAGGAGACATACCTATATAAGTCTTATAAGCTTTTCAATATGCTCAAAGAGCATCATCTAAATTCTTAGACCAAACTTTCCTTGAAGGGTTCACAACTTTTTCCAATATCCTCTTTATCACTCTATTCGAAATTTCAGCTTGTCCACTACATTGTGGATGATAGGTTGTAGCAGCTTTGTGTTTAACACCATATTTTGCCATTAAATTTTTAAATATTTTATTGAAAAAATGGGTTCCTTCATCACTAATGATCTCTCTAGGGGTGACATGTCTAGAAAAAATGGTTTTAATCAAAACTTTAGTCACCACCCTAGCATTATTAGTGGGAGTTGCTACTGCCTCTATCCACTTATAGACATAATCCACAACCACTAATATGTACAAATTTCCAAAAGGTTGAGGGAATGTCCCCATGAAGTCAATGCCCCACACATCAAAAAGTCCAATTTCAAGGATGTTAGTGAGAGACATTTCTTGCCTCGTGGAAATATTCCTCACTCTTTTGTAAAATCAAGCTTCTCAAATGCACTTTTGTTTTAATGAAGACAAAACATGATTGACAAAGAAGGCAAAGATTATTGATCAAGCTAAAAGAATATGTGGATAAAGTCTTTGGTTCAAGCACTTAGAAAAATTTCAAGGTATGATGATAATACTTACTTTGACTTAAGACATAGATGCTCAATGGTCAAAAGAAATATTTTATATTGTCCAAATCCCTACTCAAGTTTTTTTTCTAAGCTAAAAATCATTTTTCACTTGAGTGCAATCGATTTGCATATTAGTTCAACCAATTGCATGCTTCAATTTTTCAAAACATTTGCTATTGTTTCTAAGTGCAATCAATTTGCATGTTTATGCAATCGACTGCACTCAATCAATTTTTGCTACTGACTTCAAATGCAATCGATTTACACTCTTGTGCAATTGATTGCACACTCAAAATATTTGAATTTCTAGTTGTTGAAACCTCGTGCAATCGATTTACACAAAGGGTGCAATCGATTGCATGCTGCACGATTTTGAAAAACAACAACTTTACACATGCATGTTCATAACACCATTTCATGGAAACCTTTCACTCAATCTTGGCAATTATTCATGATTTATTTACAGAACTTTATGTTGTTTCAAAAAGGTTCTATGAACATATAAATACTCATTTTCAAAATCATTACAACACCTCTTCAAAATATATTTTCTAAATTTTCAAAAGTCAAACTAAAGCTGTTATACATTTTCATACACAAGTTTTCTGCACACTTTCACATATTGTTAACCAGAAAACTTTGAGCATTATATATCTTGAGTCATTGTATTCTATTTTCATTGGAAGAGAAGATCAATTCATTGATTAAATAACTCAAAGTGACCATTTCTACTCAAATCAAATATTGTTATATACTTGCTTATTTTTCAGGATTGTTGGAAATAAGTTTAAGTGGTTTTATAAATCTTGTTTTACCAGGATTGTTGGATACAAGTAAAGTCACTTTGAGAGGATTGTTCTCATTGTTGACATAGTGAAAATCCAAGAGGATTGTTCTTGGTCCAAGAGGATTATTCTTGGTTTTGGGTAGTTCTTGTTTAAGTTTGCCATAATAAGGAAATATCTTTCATGTTGAAAGGGGACTGGAGTACTCTCGGACCGTGAGGGGAACCAAGATATATCGCTTGTGTCTCTTTATTTTTCTACACTTTACTCTTTCATAAACTCACCATAAACCATAAAAATAATATCCATCATCACTAAAACCAGAAAATTTTAAAGTACCTAATTCACCCCCCCCCCCTCTTAGGCGCACTTCGTACTTACAATTGGCACCAGAGCAGGTTATAGGTAACCTGTTCCTAAAAGATCCAGAATGGCTTCCGCAAATCAAAATCCCGTTTTCAGAGATGGTGGTAGTAACAACAAGCCTCATCTATTTTGTGGTGAATATTTTAACTTCTGGAAAATACGCATGAAGGCACATCTAGAAGCACAAGGAGAAGAAATATGGGATGCCATCGAGAATGGTCCTTTTATCCCTATAACGGTAATCAATGGTGCTGGCTCATCAAAGCCTAAAGCTGCATGGGACGAAGATGATAAGAAGAAGTTTCTCTATGATAAAAAGGCAATAAATCTTCTTCGAGGTGCACTTAGAATGGATGAATTATTCCGTGTCTCGGCATGCAAAACAATGAAAGAAATATGGGATACCTTGGTACAAACTCATGAAGGAACTGTTGAAGTTAAAAGATCAAGACTAAATACCCTGAGTCAAGAATACGAATTATTTTGAATGCAGCCCGGAGAAACCATCCTTGATCTATAAAACAGATTCGTTCACTTGACAAATCATCTAAGTGCTCTTGGTAAGACTTTGACAAATGATGAACTAAATCTAAAAGTACTTAGGTCCTTAACTAGGGAATGGCAACCAAAGGTAACGTCAATTTCAAAAAAGAAAAGTCTGTCCTCAATGACTTTCGCAACGTTGTTTGGGAAACTTAAAGAATATGAAACGGAACTCGGAATACTTCAAAAACATGAAAATCAAGAGAATAAATCCAAGAATATTTCTTTAAAGATAGATTCCAAGGAAGTTGAAAAGGAAGACAATTCGGAAGAAGGTGAAAATTTCATGCTTCTTGTTAAAAGGCTTGGTAAGTTCTTTGGTAGAAATGACAAATCTTTTTCTCATTCAAATGTAAAGAAACAATTCAAGAAAAAGGAAGCTTCCACATTAACACAAGAAGTCACATGTTATTAATGTGGTAAGCAAGGTCATATCAAGCCGGATTGTCCGAAACTCTCCAAGAAAGGTGTCTACAAAAGCAAAAAGGGATTCAAGAACAAAAAGGCCTATGTTGCATGGGAGGATAATGAAATAAGTTCTTCATCCAATTCCGATAGTAATAAAAGTGCAAATCTAGCACTGATGGCCTCACACCATTCCGATAATAAAGACAATAAGGTTAGTAATGAATTTTATCTTTTTGATAGTGATGCACAAGGTGTTATAGATGAACTATTAAATGAATGCAAAATTCTATATAAAACTATTTCATCTCAAAAGAAACAAATTTCATCTTTAGAAGAAAAATGTGAATCTATGGAAAAAGATTTCAAAGAAGAAAAACAAAAATTAAGTGATGAACAAAAATAGAATTTTGTATGCAAAAATTCAGAATCACTCTCTTTCCAAATTGTCCAATTGAAAAGAGTTATTGAAATATATGAAAAAGGTCAAGTTGGATTGGAAGGTGTTCTTAGCCAACAAAGATACTCCAACGATAAAAGTGGAGTTGGATACTCAAAGTTCTCTAAACCAAGTTCAAATAAAACTATCTTTGTTAAGGCTAGTGATCAATCATCCAAAGATAAAGTGAACAAACCTAAAATAGTTCATCACTATACTAAAAAGAAAACATTTCCTAAGAATAAATCTTATCCTTCTAGATATAGAAGTAACTTTGAACCTAC